TCGGAGGGAAGAAGTCCCAACTGATGGAGCTTATGGTTTATCTCCCACTGTCTCCATGCTACAGTTGACAATGCCAGCACTGGATAAGGTTCTGCTTACACAGGCCTTGCAGATTCTCAAACACTGCCTGTGACCTGTGACCTGCCCCCTGCTGTCCCACAGCTGCCAACCAAACCTCCTCTGATCAGTCACTGAAGTAAGTTGATAAGCTCGTTTATAATGCTCGTATATTTGGGACATACTGACTTTCATTTTTGCTTAAGATTATAATTAATGTCATTATTTCTAAAAAGAAAAACAAACCCATTGATTTTTTTTCTGATTATATAATGACACACACATAGTTAATGAAAACAAAATCAACAAACTTAAAAGGTACAAAATAAAAAGCCATCTTTAAGTTCAATACTCAGACAAACCCTGAACATTTTTGTCATCTTTCTTTTAGATAGCTCTCTCCTTACATATGCACCACGCATACATAATTTTACATAAGTGGTATGATGATATACATACTGTTCCGTATAATTTTATTTTTCAGATTAACATAGGCTATATATATCCTTCAGAATTTATTAAATAAGAAGTGTGGTGTATTGTAAAAGAGAATATAATCCATCCAAACATGCTTTTTTTTTTTAGTTTTAAAATTCTTCCTAGTTTTCTATTATTTAAAAATTTTCCAAATAATTCCAGTCTTGGCCCATGAAACCAATGAGGAAGTGACAAGTACTATGGGTTTAAGCATCTTCTGGAACATATCCAAATCTGTCCTGGAAATGTCTGAATCCAAGTTTTGGGAATTATCAAAACTCCTGAACATATGACATAGTGTTCTTCTCCCAATTTAGAGAAGCTAAAACAACTCAGATTAACAGAAATATTTCTGGAGTTGCCAAATTTGTAGCTAACACATCTTCTCAAAGCAAACCTGTAAGTTATTAAGAAACCCTTTTAAAGACCTCCATAACAAAAGGAAAACTGTTTACTAAATTAATCTTTCCAGACCCTGGGCTGCATCATTAACATTCCCACATTCAATGTAATTCTGGTAAAAGTTATTGCCACCCATTCCACTCAATATTGTTGCTTTCTTTTTTTTTTTTCGGGGGGGGGGGGTGGATTTTGAGACAGGTTTCACTGTGTAGCCCTGGCTGTTCTGGAACTCACTCTGTAGACCAGGCTTGCCTTGAATGCAGAGATCTGCCTGCCTCTGCCTCCCTGTCACTCAACATTCTTATTGCTTTGATTAAACAGCAGGTGTGAGGTTTCTATAAGAAACTTTCAGTGGCTACAATTTCTTAATGCAGCATTTCCCTTCTTTTGACTACAGGCAATTACTACCATGGGAACATTTGGACATACCCTGACACCCTGCATTACATGCAGAGACCTTTAGTGGAGGAAATACAAGAAAGGCCCATGACAGGAAGCAATGTTTTCTCAATCCTGTGTCCTGTACCTCAACAATCTTGCTAATCACTGATCATCTTTCTTTTCTTTTTTCTCTTGAGACTAGGTCCTATGTTATCAGTCAGGCTGGCCTTGAACTCAGTCTTCCCAGGCAGCCTTACTCTTGACAACTATGTGAGATTTCAGAATGATCACTTATGGAGACCAAGCTGGTCTCAGGAGATCCTCCCACATTTACTAATCCAAGAAATCACATAGAATTGAAAAGGAAATTTTTGAAAACACCCAAGAGATATAACTGGCTTGGTTACATGAAATGAGCAAATGAAAACACCTCTTAATTACTTGGTAATATGGTACAGTATGTAAGGCCTTGGAGATCTATGAAAGCGTATGAAATAGAAAAAGATATGGATCCACAACATAAAGGAGAATTGATGGGGGAAGTCCTTGTGTGTATATGTTTGTCTCATTGTTTGATAAAGTACTGTTGGTCAATAGGGAAGCAAGATAGGTGGGATTAGGAGTTAAGGAGGATTCTGGGAAATGTAGTAAAAAGAGGTCTTGTGATCCAGGCAGGAAGTGACATAGCACACAGACTCAGAATATAAGCAGGGACAAGCAGGAAATCGCTCTCTTCCTCTTCCTCCTCCTCCTCTCTTCTTTGGAGCCGCCATGTGAGCCCGACAAGAGAGGACGCATGACGCCAGCATCCTCGATCAGGTAAGTCTTAATAAAATATATAGATTAATAATAATGGTTGACACTTAAGACAGAGATAGCAGATAAGAAATCCCAGTCATTGGCAAGCAGCATTGTACCTAATATAAGTCTCTGTGTGTTATTTCGGGCGCCCACTTGGCGGCAGGGCTTGGGCAGGGTTGGCGGAAACATTTATCGTTATAGAGAATTACAAAACCAAAGTTAATTTTTGAAGTTTATATTAAAAATAATACTTATTTTAACAGCAAACTAAATATTTGCTGTAAGATTTAGTGTGTAAAGGAAGGCTGGGGCAAATGAATGCTGCAAGGACCTAGAGCCTGAGAGAGAAAAACAAAGACAGCTTCTTGGTTTCTGTAAGAGCAGCCTGGAAACAGAGTCGATGCTAAAAGGGGAATGGAGACATGGGGATATTTGGAAGGAAAGCAATGAACTCGGTTTGCACATATTGGTCTTGACATATCTACTGAGGACCCTGATGTTTAAGATTTATTCCTTTTTAGAGAGCCCTTGGCTAACACAACAAATGCACAATGAATACAGATGGCTATGAGCTAGACAAGCTGTTTGCCACAAATAGATTGTACAGCATGTTAAAAACAAAACAAACTGATATGAATTGGGAGAATAGGGAGAATTATCAGCTGCAGTGGAAGAATGAGGTAATAATAATAATAACACATTTCAATAAAACTTCTATTTCATATTCTTCTTAACATTCCCCTGCCATACATCTAGTTTAAAATGTGAAGACTGTTATATTTCAATGCATAAATTACTCAAAATATACCTTCATAAATTCCTATTCCTACTCACACCCACAGCTTTCTTTACTCGACGTTTCTTTCCAAGTAAGACTCATGTAGTGATTTTTCAATAACAAAATATAGACTCTAGATTCTAAAACCTATGTATTTGGCTTATGCCTTTAATCCCAGCACTTGAGAAGCAGAGACAGGTGGATATCTGAGTTTGAGACCAACTTGGTCTACAGAGTGACCAGTATAACCAGGGCTACACAGTGAGACCCTGTCAAGAAAAACAGAACAGAACAGAACAGAACTGAAATGAAAAGCAAAGCAAGAAAAAAGAACAAAACAACAAAAACCACATTCCCTTCAAACTAATGTTCAATTGTTCTGTAATCATGATGGATGGGAAATAAATTGAATGAAGAATGAGAGGCAAGAAGGTGAGGAGCAGGAAGACTGAGGGCAGTCTGGGTGTTACTTTACTGCAAACTAAATCTGTGGTTTTTGAGTATTTGATAGAGTGAGCCATGGAAAACTAAACGATGCCTGCCTAAGACAAGAGGCAGAACTGAGTTCAAGCTACTGAAATCTTAGAACTTCCTTCCACATGATCTTGGAGGGAAGTAAGAGAATTGTAGCCAAGAGAGCAGGAATCTGTTCTTCCTCCTTCCAATTACTCTAGTCCATCAGCTGTTACATCAAGGATCATTTATCTAAGACAATCACATGACAATCCCAAATGGGAAACACAGTGGTGCAGAATCCTGGTATAAAGTTAAAGGAATAGAAAGACAAAGAAAGTGGCCTCAAAAACTGAAGATGCACTTGAGTGATGTCCCCAACATGCACAGGCCAAAAAAAGCAGAGAAAAATAGAAATAAAACCAAAAATAGGAAAAGTAAATTTCAAGCAATTCTATGATTTTTCTCCAAATCGGTCTTCTGGTAAAATTTGTAGGAAAATTAACATAGATATTTGGGTTGCCAGAGTAGATATTTTCCCTGCATACCATAATTAAAATTAATAAGCAACACAAGTAAGTAATTGAAGGGGATTTATATGTCATAATTTGTAACAAAAGGCAAAGTTCCATAAATACTATGAGAAACTCTTCTTTCCAAGAACACAGAGGACTAAAAACTCAGTATAAAATAACACTGAATTGTATCAGAAAGATTGATTGATACTCATCTATGGGTGAGAATGGATTCCATGCTCACTCACAGGGCAAGGTAGCTGGAGAAAGCCAGGCTAAACCACTGACATCTTTCAATTATCTCTGTGCTCTATGATTTCTTCAGCACTCCCTGAAGAAATTTCCTTAGGAAGTTACAGCTGCTCCTTAGTCTTTTCAAACAGACCAGTGTGAAGAGTTGGACAAAGATAACAATTATTCCAGGCCTTTGGACAGGCAGGCAGGGTGTGTTTAAAAGCACATTCTAGGTCTGACTGGCTTACGATATTAGCATAACTTATTATATGTGTGACCATGGTTGTCCATGTTAATCAACCTTCAGGCCCTCTATTTCCTCAACTGTAAAGTGAAAAAAATAATAATATAGAGAGTTGTTATGAAGTTGTTATGAAGTACACTTAGAAGCCTGGCACAGGGTAAGCCTAGTGGCAACGATGCTACTGCATGAGTGCAGTGCTAAGGGAAATATTGTTTCTAGGCACCACACTGTCAGCTAAGAACAGCCAAACCATTAGATAAAGTTCAATCATGGAGAAGAGCCAAGAGATCTCAAGAAAAGCTACTTCAACCAAAATTCAGCTTAAGAAATGACATCGGTTCATCAGTTACAAAGACCTTTATTTTAGTGTCTTTCCTTATTGGAGAAATAGATGGAAGCTGACACAGCCAAACAGAGAGCAAGGGAATGATGGAAGGAAGCAGCTACAACAAACACTTTAACGTGTCTGGATCCTTCATCACCCAGGGCTTCCATTCATAGGGAATCTTTAAAGAGTCTCAAAGCTATTAAAATGGTAATTAGGCCCCAAGAAAACAAGAGCAAATTAAATTACTTGCTGGATGTCTTTAAATTTTAAAGCCTTCTGTTAAAAGGGTTTAAAATAAAGCACAGTTATAATTGCTTGTCCATGACCAACCTTAAAGCCAAAGTGTATGTTCCCGGCTGCCGCTGGCTCTCCCGGATGAGGTAGCTTCCCTCAGCCACACTCAAGAGCTGGTCAGTCTCTTCTCTAGAGATCATGCCATGAAACCTATGGAACAAAGCCAATCAGAGACCCAGTCTCCACAGTTTTTCAATATAACAGGATAAAACATGCCCCTTGCCATCACCTGTTGTTTTCAGCCAGACCATTGGAAGGAAGCACTTGGGTTTAACTGTGCTTGTGCTTCTCTGGGCCTGGCCCCTGGCCAGCTTCTCTGTAATAAGAACAGCACCAAAGTAGCTACTGAGTCTAGTTCCCAACCCACAAAGCAAAATCCACATCCATATAAGGCAGGATCTACTACCTTGCCTAAGAGGACAGTCCTTTCTCATGTAACTATTTGACCATATGGGCTTACTAAAGAATAATACACAGAATTTATTTCATTTTTTCTTCCTGGTTGGTGCTGTGATCCAAGCTTTTGGCTGAAAGTTCATGCTGGCAACTTTCCAGAACCATGGGTTGTCTTTAATTGGCATGATCACCCAATAATGTGCACAATGTGCATTGCTGAATACTCAGACCACAAGCAAAGAGTGCTACACTTGCCTTGGCTTACTGTTCAAACCCTATCTTTCATTAACAAAGGACAAAAAGGAAGAATAAACACAATAATAAATGCATACTTTATGCAAAGATTCATTTACAACAACCTGATATAGAAAACTGAGAAAGTAAAAGTGGCAGTGCTAAGAGATATCTAAAATATGTAATCACTTTACACCTGCATGAGAATTTGCAATTTGTAAATATACCATGTGCCTTTAGGCATTCAAAGACTATAAAGGAATATAGGCCATGCCACCCCCAAATGTGTTGCTTTAATATGTTATTTTCATCTGACAGCACAAGACAAGCAGCCAGTGCCAGGAAAAGTCTTTCTCTGAGCTTCCTCTATCTACCTAAGGACAAACCATCCAAAAGGACTTGAATCCCAGCAAACTCTTCCATCAGGGAGACTGAGTCTCCTCCAGGAGAGGAGACATAAAGGCAACACCACAGCATACAAACTTGCCTATTTCTCCCATTCATTGTCCGAAGGGAAAAATCACATTTCCTAAAAATCATTTATTCTTCCCTAATGGCCCACAATGTCCATAGGGAATTTTACATTATTAAAAATAAATAATAAAATATTAATATACAAACTCTGACATCCCACTGGGTAGTCACTACTTTTTATGTGATGCCCTTGTTTGCAAAAGGACATTAGCCACTTGATTTTGGATTAAAATTTAAAGGTCCTTCAACGGCATCTTAATAGCCCAGGAATTTTGCTTGCGGTGACTGACAACTCTCTGAAGTTTTTCCTTGTAGGTTTGCCTCCGTCTTAAAATTATTTGTGGCAATTACGTTTAAATCACATGGACCAGAAATGTTCTAATTGGTCTCCTGAATTTTTCATCTGCATGAGTTCCTCAATCTTTAGAACTAGGTTCATGGGAAATACTGAATCTTCTGGAAGGAAGATAGTAACCCACCTCTGATGTGACACACTCATTCATCTATATTTACATGTACCCTGCCATCAGTGAATAAAGTTGGCAAAATGTATTAGTTGTTTAAAAAAAGATCCATTGCCTTATAAGGCAATCACATTCCAATTGTGGAACATATTTTAACAATGGAATTTAAAGAACCTTAAAATGATTCACACCAATTGATCCATTATTTGTATCACTTTAAAACTGTGTACAGTGAGAGGTTTCTGAGAGTTACTATTAGTATGAGAGATTAAACCTTCCTAACCCATAAATCATCAATCTAAAATATGATACTCCTCTGTGTCTAGCACTCATGACAAGAGAGCTGCAATCAGAAGAGCAACTGCAAAACTCTTAAGACTGATTCTCTACTATATAGTCACTCATCTCAGCTCACAGGCAGGCTGCCTATGGACCATTCCAAGACTCAAAAAATACACCTGGAATTCAAAATAATTTAGAAATACTTGCTGTATAGATTGTCATTTGATATTATGGCAATGAAAAACAAAGGGTTTTATCTGGGGCAATGGTTCTCAACCTGTGGATAGTAACCCCTTGAAAGTATTAGGAAGGTTGAGAACAACAGATCTAGGGAATGATAATGATTATAGGTGATTTTTACTCTTTTTTTCAAAGTGCTATATTTCTATTTCCCAATAATCAGAAAAATTAAGACCTTAGACATTAAAACTGCATTTTGAGAGCCTATTGCCCAACCATAGAACTAAAACTAAGTCAATTTTCAAGATAGTATAATGCTCATTATCAATATTAAGCAGAAAATTTAAGCTACAAATCTGTATATATAAGATATAAACTTTGTAAAACCTGAGAGGGGACTGGTGCATTGACACATGTCTATAATTACACAACAAGAGGAAGATGGGCAAGCCGGGCATTGGTGGCACTCAGGAGGCAGAGGCAGGTGTATCTCTGTGAGTTCGAGGCCAGCCTAGTCTCCAGAGTGAGTGCCAGGATAGGCTCCAAAGCTACACAGAAAAACCCTGTCTCAAAAAACCTAAATAAATAAATAAATAAATAAATAAATAAATAAATAAATAAAAAGGAAGCTGGGCTTCACAGTGATGCACAATCTTAAATAAATAATATTATGAAAACATTGTCAGAAGGTAGTATATAAAAATTTTAATATGTCTCTGGGTAACATGAATCAGTTTCTTCTGTATGAGACTACATAATATTGAAAACTAAAAAGGGGGGCAATATAAAATAAACTGTCTTAATCCCTTTGAATCTATATGTATGTTTTATTGTATCTAGTACATAAATATATACTTGTTTGACATCCATCTAGAAATATGTATTTATATGGCTTGCTTCCTTAATTATTGCATTTATTTTATCATGGAATTTCCTTTTTTATGTGCATTGGTGTTTTGCCTGTATGTATATCTATGTGAGGGTTTTGGGTCCCCTGGAACAGGAGTTGTGAGCTACCATGTGGGTGCTGGGAATTGAACTCAGGACCTCTGGAAGACCAGTCAGTGCTCTTAACCACTGAGCTATCTCTCCAATTCCTGATACATCCTTTTTTACAGTTGTCCTTATTTTCCAATTTTAGACCAGTTAGAATTATGCCTGTAATCAGAGAAAGAATTTAATTCCACCTAACTAGAATATTTCTTTCATCCTGTATTTTTGCCCAAAGTATGCATTTACTTGTATCTTTTTATTGTTTTTGGTTTTTTTTTAGAGTAAAATTCTGTCTTTATTCAACAAGAGTCATTAAGACAGAACCATATCATACATTCAAGAAGACAGCTTTCAAGAAGACAGCTTCTGTAGTACCAATAAAAGAAAGAGTAGAAAGTGAAAGGAACGAATGAGAGTGTGGAGTTGAAAGGCGGACTGTGTGTCAAAGCGCTGAGGCCTACATGCACATACTTGTATCTTTTACAAGTATATGAACCTACAAGGTATTTTCTGATAATGCATACTTACTCTCTTCCGTAATACTTTGGTCTGTTTTCTACCTACAGGAAAAGGAAGAACAATGAATACTTATGAAAATCCAAATGCACAAAATGTAAGTCAACACTGTTTTCTTATGATAAACTAAAGTACATACCAAGAAAAAGAATCCAAGTAACATTAAAGGGCAGAAGATGGACTGTAAGTTTATTAATTAACTGGATTGGCTATTTCATCTCTTTAGGTTTGTTTCTGATGCACCATGCTGTGTGTGTAAACAGTTGAACTGAACTATCTTTTGATGGTAATGAATTAGAAAAGATAAACACTTGATTCAGAGAGCAAAATATCCACAAAACTTAATGTCATAACAGTGTCACAGCAGATTATGGCTGTTCCCCAGCCTCCCCAGTGCTCTCCCTCCCCATCTCTCCATAGTCTCCATTTTGTCACAAGCATCTGAACACAGCATCACCCTTCTGTTTCCCATCAGCTCTCCTGTCACCAGTTTCTCTTCCCATGGCATTTCATAGCATGTGATGCATCTAGAAGTATAGATTCTGAGGAGTTCCTATTGGGCAGATCATTAGATAGAAGGAATCTACCCAATTCATTCAACAAATACTGAAGAGAAAACATGGGATAGGCATTTTTCTTTTTCTAAGAAAAATATTTACATTATTTGTATGTGTTTGTGTGTTTGGGGGGAGGTGAATGCCACATCATGAGAAGGGGTCAGGGAACAACTTGCAGGAGCTGGTTCTCTCCTTCCATCATGTGGGTCTCAGGGCTTGAACTCAGGTTGTCAGGCTTGGCTGCAGATCCCTTTACTCCCCGCCACCCCCAAGCCATCTTGGCAGTCCCATACCTATTTTTTATGCAGAGGATATATCAATGAATTAAAACCAAAACTGTTTTATTTTGAAAATATATTGTAAAGGTAAGAAACAGACAACAAAACAGGTTTTTGTTGTTTGTTTTTTTAAGCAAGGAGAAAAACAGAAAGTACAGGAGTAGCAAATAGCTTAATGGCAGTAACAGAGGACTAATGTGTTAGCTGTAAGTTGGTGGTCAGAAAAGGCCATTCTGAGATGACATTTAAGTTGAGTCCTGAATGACAACCTAGCTCTAACTGCAAAATCATAGCAACAGAAAAGTCTTTTTCCTAGGAGGTATCTGGAACTGCTATTTGTCATGTTTTAGTTACCTGTAAAGATCATTCAATTTCCATAGTAAGTTAATGATTCTGCTCTATCTTTGAGTCTTATCATTCCCAGTTTTTAACTTGTTTTTCATGGTAAAGTTATTTTTAGTTGATGAAAATGTATATATACTGTGTAATTTACATATGTGTGTATATTATGATGTATAACATCATGTATTGATACATGTGTGCATTATGAAATGGCTAAAATGATTGACGTGCATTACCTCACATATTTAAAATCTGTACTCTTGAATTCCTCCCATTTTAACTGAAATGCTGCATTTTTTTTTTTTTTTGAGGCAGGGTTTCTCTGTATTGTTTTAGAGGCTGTCCTGGAACTTGCTCTGTAGACCAGCCTGGCCTCGAACTCACAGAGATCCACTTGCCTTAGCCTCCCGAGTGCTGGAATCACCAATGCCCAGCTGAAATGCTGTATTCTTTAACCAACACTTTTCCAGTCACCAACCACGCCAGCATCTACTAACTACTACCTATACTGTAGTTCTCTGAGCTGAACGTTCTAGAGTGAAATTATGACTGCTTGACTTTCTGTGCTGGCTTATTTCACTTAATAATGTTCTCCAGGTTCACCCATGATGTTGCAAATAATAGGACTTGCTTCTTTTAAAGGATGTGTTCTGTGTGAAATACAGTATTCACCATGGATATATACATTTTATTTACCCATCATTCACTGACTAGCCATAGTGACTCATATGGCAAAACATCAGAGTGCAGATATGTCTTCAACATAATGAGTTCGTTTCCTTTGGACAGGTACCAAATAGCAGGAGTGCTGGACTGTATGGTACAAGAAGAAACTGAGTATCAGGGAAGTTACACTTGCTATTGAAGATACTGCCTGTTCACAAGTTAATACTGGCATTCTTATACATAGCCAAAAAAGACCCTCCTTTTGCCTGTTTGATGCTGCCTCACTTGATTTAAGTTGAATGGAGTTCCCAAAACCACTTTAAAGCCTGTTGAGTGATTTTCTGTAGTTCTATGCCAAACTTAGCTGCCAGATCTGGATTTTCCATTTGCTGGTCATCCTGATCTAGTACTGTTTTTAGCAGACTTGAGACATAATAAATGTAATAATAAATAAATTATTGCCATCATAGCAAGAAATCTGTTTTGGTGACAATGCCATGCATCCTCAAGGGCACACCCTAATGGTTTCTCAGAATCTAATTCAGCACACCCACCATCTCTGAGGAGTCTTCAAATTCTCTCAATTGTAGAATTATGGTAAGAACATACTACATTCCTTTCCCGATTCATACTACAGAAAGGTCACAAAGTTTTATCTTTATGATACATAATTTTTCTTGCATGGTGAGGAACTTTCTGCTGGTTGTCTCCTATCTTACTAATTAAGTTATTGTTAGAATGTTTTCTTTTTCTCATGGGATTCATGATTCTACCTTTTCCTAAGAATTATTCTTAAATAATAAGCCTCAGGAACTTTTATTTCTATTGCAACTGCAGCCAGGTTATTTATCTTCCAACATAAATCCCATCTGAGTTAGTCTTTGTTCCACAGTTTCTCAGCACATAAAACTCACTGCATGTCTTTTGAGTCTAAGGAAGCAGGGGAGGTTTTCTTTTCCTAAAACAAGATCTAGCTGTTTTAGGGTTATCTAAGATAATAAGAAGTATCTTCAAACTTACAGACATTAACTCAGATAATCAAATTAAAAGATTAGTCAGAAATATAAAAAATGATTAACAATTTGAAATTAGTTGACTTTTAAATGTATCAAGTTGGGAATTTAAATGTCATGCAATAGTAGGAATAATTTATGCTTATTTAAGCACTTATATGCTTGTTTTTAAGTTTTATAAAACATCTAAATGTTTTTGCAGGAAAAGAAAAATCTCTGCTTCCTTAGATTCAGATGACAGGAGGTAAAAACCAAGAGATGACTAGTTTCCCAAAGTCATTTTTCCTTCTCATTCAGTTCACCAAATCATATGTATTCTCTTGCCTCATAGATCCCTCTTTCTGCCCCTTTTTTATTATTCACAGAGATAGAGTCTCATTGGTCCTTTCAGTCATCCTTAGAAGTACAACAATCTCTTAAAATAGTCTTTGTGCCTCACATGCCCATATTCCTAATCCACCTTCCACATTGCAGCCAAGTGCTCTATTGTGCTGAAAACATCCTTAGTTCCATGGTTACAAGGACAAGGTCTAAATTCTATACTTAGGAAATAGAACACTTTTATTATTTTTCAACTATGTAAACCTCTGATATCATCTTTTGACACTCTACAATAAGTTCCCTGAGAGTTTCAAACAAACAAACAAACAAACAAACTCCACAAAAGCCAGATACATGGAATTGCTACCAATCTGTCCTGTTGGCTAATGTGCTTCACTTCCTCTAGGAGACTCTAAGTTCTTCTAGGAAAGAGATATTGCTTTGACTTGAGTTCTGAGAATCTAGCAGAAAGTAGTCCCTCAAAGAATATTTGTTAATTGACTGATGGAATAAAAATATAAATGTCTAGTCTCAGGTTCTTGGACACTTAAGCAGTATCAGATAAGGGTTCTATATCATGGAGTGAAATTAAATTAAATTTTTAAAAAAGGGATCACTTACTCCCAAAACATGTATCATTACCACACTAGCATTTCTTGCAGGCAGTCACTGCTATAGGTTGAAGGGTAATAATGGTGATTACTGCAAAGTACCTTCTAGCACCATGAATATTAGTAAGTTGAGGTGAAGCTTCTAACTGGGTACCAGCTCAAGTTATGCATATTTGATGATATAAGTGGAATCTTCAGCAATAGGGCCTTATCATCGGGTTGTAGCAATATCTGTGGCAATAACCTTTAATGTTTGGGAGAGTTTATGGGATCCCTCTGACCAATGACCCAACATTGGCCTCTTGGCACTGGAGGTTTTACTTGGTGGCATAAGATATCTGTTTGCTTGGAGCATCATCTCTCTCCTTATATGGTGACTCCATTTAAATGTTTTCATATATGCATATATTTTAGGAAGCTTCTACAGTAGTAAGTTTCTATACGGCTTTCCAAAAGTCTTTACGTTAGCTGTCCCTTCCCATATTCCCTCCTTTACCCTACTCTCCCACACCTATCCTGATTAAATTCTAATCTAGTTTTCCCTGTATCTCTTGGTAACACTATATTCTATTTCCCTTTATTTGGAAGATTCCTCCCCCATCCCCCAAGGTCCCTTACTAGCTATTTAAACAGTGGTTTAAACAGTATTTAGATAACACACAAATCTAAAGATTAAAAGCTAACATTCACATATTATATTGCAAAAGGAATATAGCAATAAAATAACACCTAATGGTACATTTCTATAACCATAAATCAATGTCTTGCTCAACTCTCAAAGAGAAGCTCCCTCTTGCAGTAGATAGTAATTAGCACAGAGACCAACAGGTGGACAATGTACAGGCAGTGAGAGACTTCAGAATACTCAGAATACTGAAACGGGATGTCATCATTAAACACCTCTCCTCAAAGTTCAGGGATCATTCAGAAGAGGAATTGAGAAGATTTTTTTTTTTTTTTTTAAGAGTCAGGGGTATGGGTGACCCAAGAAAACGGTGTTTCCGCAAACACAACGAGGCTGATACACATATGAACTCACAGAGACTGTAACAGCATGCTTAACACTAGCACAGGTTCAAACAAGACAAGACCCCAGCACTAAAAAGGGGAAGTGGACACAAAGTCCTACCCCAATTAGGAAGCTATTTGCAATTGATACCTACTGTAAATGGAAAATCCGTTTTCTTCAGTGGCATGTCAGTGGGTATACCAACCACTCTAGGGCAGGCCCCATGCCCAAGAGTAATTGGTCAACACAAAATCCATTCCATGATTGTGTTTGTGTGTGTGTATGTGTGTGCACATGCTTTTCGTCAGGGTATTTGGAGGGCTTTGTTTGCATCTTTTCATGTTATACAAAGTATCTTTCCTTGGTAAATTATCCATGTTTTATTTTATTTTGTTGAAGTGCTGTTTCTTTTTATTCTTTTCTAATTTCAAACATGTATGCAATATATTTACATCATATTCACCCATATCCACCCCTTTCTCCTCCTATGTTCAGAGAGAGTGAGGGAGAGAGAGTGAGGGTGTGTGTGTGTGCGTGTATAACTTGCTATGTAGACAAGCAGGCTTGGAACTGAGAGGTCTATTTGCCTCTGCCTCCCAAGTGCTGTGATTAAAGGCTACATGCCTGGTTCAATTTTTGTTCATTTTTTAAAATTATCATTTAAATCTTTCTTTTAAAAGAATAAATAATTTGATAATTCTACAATGATACTTCCAAATTTATTTTCAGAAACAAGGAACAAAATAAAATGTGAAGATAATGTGTAATTAGCTAAAGAAAATGAAAATAATTTAAAACTATACAAACATGTTATATATGATGTTATAAATAGCATACCTATGTCCAATTTGACTATTAAGAAAACACAAATTCAGTATAACACCATGCTGTGAGCCAGAGCAAATGGTTACACCTACAAACAAGCCACCAAAGAAGGTCAGTGTAGGGAAACAGAAGAATGGAAGGGCGCTTGCTGTACCAACTGTGTCACACCCACCTCACAAGTACAGGTGATCCTTCGTGGGTGAGGGGCTTCCTGCTGCAGCTGGTATACTACAAGAATGTAGACATCAAAGTGTCAGTTTCCCATATACAGAATTTAGGAGCATACTAGAATAAATTGGCTGCTTTTTATACTCATAAGAAAACAGTTACAGTCCTATTTGTTGCTAAATAAAAATTTGTTATGAACAAAACAAAGACTGTCGACCAAATTAAAGTTACCAAATTTTAGAAGCACACAAACAAAAAAAATCATAATCCACACAAATATTTTCTAGAACAAATCAAGGCTGTATGTAATCACAATCCACACAAGTATCATCTAAAATAGTGGTTTTCATCCTGTGGGTCACAACACTTTGGGGCAAGCTGCCTAATACCATCAGAAAACACAGATATTTACATTACAATTCTTTTTTTAAAAAGATTTTATTATGTATACAACATTCTGCTTCCATGTATATCTGCACACCAGAAGAGGGCACCAGATCTCATAACAGATGGTTGTGAGCCACCATGTGGTTGCTGGAAATTGAACTCAGGACCTCTGGAAGAGCAGTCAGTGCTCTTAACCTCTGAGCCATCTCTCCAGTCCCTACAATTCTTAACAGTAGCAAAATTATGGTTATGAAGTAACAATAAAAATAATCTTCTGCTTGGGGGGTCACAACCTAAGGAACTGTATTAAAGAGTCACCACTGAGAACCACTGTTCAAGAATAAATTGGGGCTATAAATTTTACACTCTTCTCTATTATCTACTCTTTGTTTTTCCTAATATAAACCAGTAATATTTACTGTCAAACATAAGACTTTATAAAATAAGGCGTTACAGGTCAGAAGTCAACATATACACTATTTTTTTCTCCTTTATTTCTATTGCAAACATCTCCTTTCAAGTATAATCTGCTTAAAACAAAATTTCAGAGACCAAGTTACTAGGACTTACTCAATTTGGGCAAATGCAGCAAAAGAAGAATTTGACACTGAAACACTTTGAAAAAGAATGGATAGTTTTTAGGGTATCTGAAAATGAATCAATGAAATTTGAACTGATAAAATGAGCTTTTCCAGCCCTACATCAGATTTTAAATTTAAAATGAGAATGAATAGGATTTGTGACTGTCAGAGGAAACATGTAAATATGTTTATCTCTTGAGACTTTTTTTTCCTATTTCTAAATGTGCAATCATAGGTAAATGAACTTAAAATAATACTGCAGTTGAATAGTTTTGTTTGTCTACATCATCAAACTACCCAGAAATCTGGGACTTCAGACAATGAATGACGTGTTTGAATGAAGCATCATTTTATAGGTTTCATCTCTGGCCATTGTAATTCATATATATCATAGGGATATATATGAATATATATAACTGGACAACATAACATATAATTATAACAAATATAGAACACATCACTGTTCTCTACAGCTACTTAGTACATGTGAAACATTTACAATAACAGGAAAGGTATCATAAAAAGTATTACATGTTGATAATCGGTATTAAAATGTGATGTTCACTACAGTAATGTGTGATTCCTGATGCATTTTGAGGTCATCACTAGGACATAGTACCTGAATAATGCTATGGTGTAAAAGGAACTGAGTACTGACAACTAAGGAATGGCATGAGCAGGTGGGGAACAGTATTCCCCAGGGAAGAGCCTATCAATTGGTTATGAATCCCACATGGTCAGTCCTGAAAGATACACCCCAGTAACATTTCACAAACTCAGCAGGGTGTATTTACATATTAGGAACACACACACACACACACACGTGTGTGTATATACACTCATTAGTGAAAAAAGAGTCATGGATTTGAAAGAGAGCAAGGAGAGTATATAAGAGGGAGGGAATAAGGAAGGGAGAATGGTGTAATTATGTTATAACCTCGAAACTAAATCAATAAAAATATTTTAAAAAGGAACTAAGAAGCTGCAGCTTCACTTTTTTGTTTGTTTTGTTTTGTTTTCTAGACAAGATTACTCTGTGTAGCTATGGCTGTCCTGGAACTCGCTCTGTAGACCAGGCTGGTCTTGAACTCACAGACATTGCCTGCCTCTGCCTCCTGAGTACTGGGATTAAAAGCATGTGTTACCTAGCCTGGCTCCTGCAGCTTTACTTTTTAAACAAAACACTTCCTCAGAAATGCCTGGAATTCTGATACAAATGACTTCCTTGACTTTTTTTTTCCCTCATGGCTACAAATATCCCTGGGCTGGTATATTAAAATCGTTTTAAATATCAATTTTCTCTGAAGTCCTCCTGTGACCTGTGAATGCCGAGATTAAAGGGACAGTATGAGGTGGATCATTCTGAGATGCAAAAGGGAAGAAAGTTCGAGCACTGAAATCAAACTGGGCTGACAATGAGAACATGGACCTCCCTCAGTGACAGCAGCATGTCTCCACCTGAGAAAAGCCAAACACTTAGCCCATGCCCATGGCTCCTTTCTGGTAAGTATAATGACAAGGTGAAACTCAGTTCACATGTGTCTGCAATTCCCAAAAGATTTGTTGTTTTCTTTGTAAATAAAATAATCTCAAAAGTACTATCACCTATAAAACTCCAATTATGCTAAGTGAGCCATAGTCACGAAGATTAAAAAATTATCATTAGAACCAAAGTAAATGTGATTCTAAGCACACAGACTGAAGTTAATGGTTATAATTAGGAAACACTTACCTGTCTAGTAAGTAAACAGTAAGATAAGCTAATAAAAATAAAGGGGTGTCAACTGGGCGTTGGTGGCGCACGCCTTTAATCCAGCACTCCGGAGGCAGAGGCAGAGGCAGAGGCAGGCGGATCTCTGTGAGTTCAAGGCCAGCCTGGTCTCCAGAGCCAGAGCCAGGATAGGCTCCAAAGCTACAGAGAGAAACCCTGTCTCAAAAAAAACAAAATAATAATAATAATAATAATAATAATAATAAAATTATTAATAATTATTATTATTAATAATAATAAAATAAAGGGGTGTCAACATCACACAAAAGAACTGATGAGGGTTTCACCCCTGTGTTTTTCTTAACATTAAATTGTGTATAGTTATTTTCATTTTCTTTCAGTACTTCTAATTGCCCAAAGGGCATGGCAGTTATTATTTGGAAAAAGATTTCTAGATAAAACACCCCCTTAAGTAATAATGAAAGTATATATGTATTTGGACTTTTTATAGCCAAATACAGCAAATTTAGATTCATAGAACACTTGTAAAAAGTTTGATTTTAAAATTATAAACAAGGTGCCAGGTGGTAGTGGTGCACATCTTTAATCCCAGCACCAGGGAGGCAGAAGCAGGCAGATCTCTGAGATAGAGGCCAGCCTGACCTACAGAGTGAGTTCCAGGACAGCCAGGGCTACACACAGAGAAACCCTGTCTTGAAAAACAGAAAACAAGAGCAACAACAAAAACTAAATAAAAAATAAACACACACACACACACACCCACACACACACACACACACACACACACACACACACACACAGCAGGTGTGGTGGCACAAATCTATAAACCCAAAACTCATAAGATTGAGGCAGGAGGATTACCATGAGTTCAAGTCCTGTCCGGGATACACTGTGAGTACCAAGTCAGCCAAGCCTACATAGCAAGACTGTATGCCTTTCTTCCAAAATAAATAAATATTTTTAAATAACACAATAGAAAGGTCCAGTTAAGCCAGGCATTTCTCCCATAGTTTAGAACTTCTGATAATTTGAATTGAAACATAGCTGAATTAAAATTGGCAATCATTAACTTATTTGTGGGAAGTTATTAACTAAATTCAAGATGACAGAATACACAATTATAGAACTTAAGATATTTTCAGTCATGTTAGAAGTGTCAATGCCTATATAATTATTAATGAAAGTCTCAGTCCCTAGCAATAACAACAAATTCAGAGATCACAAATTAGTACCTTAAACTCAAAATCGGCTCACATATGGTTTGTTTGCTTTCAAATTTGAATTTGTTTCAACAATAAAAGCAACAGGAAATTCCTATTTCTCTTAAAAAACAAACCTCAGCTGTGATCCCAAAAGATCAAGAGTGGTGGGTGAAAACTCACAGAGCCAGTTCTGAGCTGCTCTCCACAAGGCACATCTTCCCACCCCACTGCATTCTCAGTCCCTACCCTGCACTCCTTTGCTAAATGCTGTTTTCCTACTGGCTTACATTTTTAAGGGTTTTTATGTTTCTGTGTTTTTAAATGCTCAGTTAAACCCAAAAGGAACACACATAGAGCAGAGGTAAAGTAACTGTCTCAAAGACTCCCAGCAAGAGACAACATGATGGCTCAGAGGGTGGCTGAGCCCAGCAACCTAAAATGAATGCTGGGAACCCACACAGAAGGAGAGAATCAACTCCCACAAACTGTCCTCTGACTTCAATATGCATGCCATGCCACATGTACACACATGCTACATGCACACACAACCAAAGGTAAGTGAATAAAAAGTAACTTAAGACATTTTTGAAGAATACAGTAAACGATTAGTTTCTTACAGACTCATACTGTGAAAAGGAGTTCATATCCCACTAGACCCCACAAAAATCATACATACATAGCAACATCTGACATTAAATCACCCACTTAAGTTTAATAGGCACAATACAAAGAAGTAAAGTACACATTGTGATTAAGTTTTGAGAATTTTTTTAACAACTAGATTTAGGTCACATCAAAAGAAGATTCTGAATTCAGTATTAATCCAAAACTATCAATGTAATTGTCAGCTACACACACATACACTTTTCCATTTATATTTTGAGAAAGCAATTTTAAAATAATTTTTCTTTTAACTCCTTTTACTGATTTCTCTTTTAAGATAGAACCTTCATTTATCATCTATACTCCTTTTGTCACATAAAGAATTGAGATCAGAATAATTAGATTGCTCAAATTACTAGTTTCTGTATGCATTTGCTTTATCAGCTGTTCAAACAAGTTGTCTCAAGCTCCATCACATGGAATTCTGTACACTAAAGCAGATGAACTGCACTAAGGACATTAAACCACAGAGGGCTCTAGAGAAACACATTTTACTATAAATATCCCTTTTCTATTAATTCCAAACTTTGCTGTCAACAATTACATTACTTAGAAAAACACTATATCCACACAATTAAATTTATGTGTATACTTACAGTAAGATTTCCAAACAGGAGGTCTATATTCGTCAGTATCTGGAAGAAAAATTATCAAATTAATATTACTGAATAGTTATACTTAAGTAAGATGCTTCAATCATTAATTCTCATGGTATATATACTGGCTGTGCTCTATCTGTCCTACTGCTAGGCACTAAAAGGCAAAATTTTTTTGTTTTTTTTGTTTTTTTTTTAGCCTTGATCCTTACTTTCTTAAAATACTTTTTAAAAAATATTCAAAGACAGACACAAAGTTATTGTGTCTACTTAGTTATACAACATTAAAAAAAAAGTTGATTTTGACTTTTCATAACCATTTCTTATATCCATCAAGTAATAGTCAATAAAGCCACTGTTCAGGCTTAATGATTATTTCACCAAAAAATTCCTCAAATTATTGGAATTTTTCATTTCCAATCCAATTGACTGCATAATGTTAACCTTCACAGATGTTTCTCTGTTTCTCCCCCCCCCCATTACTTTACGGTGATTCTTGTATAACTAGTTAATTACTAACATGAAGAGAGGAGAGTGCAGGGAACAAATCCTAGTCGTCAAATGTCCTAGACAATCAAAACCAGGAAATGAGAAATGCTCCCATGGAAGAGAATGTCCCCAGGGACCAACAAAGAACAGGATGTGAACATCTGCTCTTCAAGTCCAATCCTCTCACTCTATTCGAGTTTAAGGATGCAGTGGAAGGGGTTGGAAATCCAGGCAATATGAAGGGAAGGAGATAAAGTAACAGAGAAAGGCAAAGAGCCAAGTGTGCTCTAGGTTCTCATTGACTATGGACAGCTAAGGAGTCATTGGCCAGACAAAGCCTCTGCAAGACTATGGAGCCAAATGATCAGACAGAATATTTCTGATGTGAAAAAGTGAAAAGAGGTAGCCAGTCACATCACCTGGCTCTGTTGGCATCTAAAATGAACCCATAAGAAATCTTGTCCTCAGGGAGGCAGAAAAATCCTGGAAAGTTTATTGAGGGATAACCCTGATGCTTACGTAAAATGATCACAAAATCAAAACATTCAGCTCTCAAATCCCAACCTTTAAAATGCAACATCACACTTGGTTTATGATGTGTTATTATAAATTACACAAACACTCTGTGTCAGAATGACAGAGCAAAAGTAGCAACATGGACTTAGGACATAAAATGTGAAATTCTTGAGTTATGTAGAAATTGCTTAGCAACCTGGAGAAATATTAAAATACGCCTGCTTATAGAACAAGAAAAGCTGTATGAATAATGAGTCAAATAGCAAGTTAACAGCTGATTGTCCTTATTTGCTGTAGTTCCAGTGGATAAAATCTCCACAACAATGAATTTAGAAGAAAGGATGGACCACACCTCTTAGGAGAAGCACATAGATCAGATTCTATGTTTCTGGCCACAACAGGCTTATGAAGCAAGCAATCAGTACAAACCTTGCTTTGTGTGTTTCTCTTTATAAATACCTATGCAGTGCTGACTGTTTAACACTGAATTCCCCCCCTCAGCACTCATGCTATAAGCAGCATGTCCAACATGTTTTCATATTCTCTCTCTCTCTCTCTCTCTCTCTCTCTCTCTCTCTCTCTCTCTCTCTCTGTCTCTCTGAACCAGATCATAGCCTTCTCACATGCAGGAACACCACACAACTCTGCAGCACTATGCTAGGAGACAGGCATTTTTTTTTTCATTTCTCTTCTCTTTTTTTTTATCATTTTTTATTTGAATTAGAAACAAGATTGATTTACATGACAATCCCAGTTCCCTTATCCTTCCCTTCCTCCCCTCCCACCCCGCCAACCCAAACACTACAGAACACATACAATCTTTTCTATTCTTCACCTGACTCAACCTTTCTGCTTCCTCATGACCTCTGCATTCTTCCTCTTCTTCCCTTCTCATTCTCGTAGCTCCATCCCCCCCCCCTTCCCGTGCTCTCAATTTGCTCAGGGGATCTTGACCCTTTCCCCTTCTCCAGGGGACAATGTTTGTCTCTTTTAGGGTCCTCCTTGTTTACTAGTTTCTCTGGCAGTGTGGATTGTAGGCTGGTAATCCTTTACTCTATGTCTAAAATCCACATATGAATGAGTACATATCATGTTTTTCTTTTTTGGAGACACAGGCATTTTATACAGAAAAATTACTAACAGAAATGCCACAGAATAGACCACAAAAGAATGCTTTACAAAAAGAAAGCTGAAAGGAAGAGGAATGGATTGGCCACAGCTGGTCACAGGGCTCAAATGTTTCCAGCTCTAAGAATACACACAAATGACCTAGAAAATGTTGAGTAATTATTTCAGAGTAACCAATAAATGTTAGTAAGCAAGCAACTTTACAAATACACATCCTGTGAATTATGACAATTTCTTAAGAAACCATCAAATTTAGGTGAACTTTCAAAATAGTAATTAAGGCTAGGTGTGGTGGTACACACCTTTAAACCTAGCACTCATGAGGCAGAGGCAGGTGAATCTCTTTAAAGAGTTTGAGGCCAGTTTTGTCAGCATAGCAAGTTCCAGGGAAGCCAAAGCTACACAGTGCTAGCCTGTCTCAAAATAAATACATAAAAATAAAATTTAAAAATGGCAATAAAAATTTAGACTGAAATAAAGCTTAATGTGATCTGTAGAAACACATACATATGTGTATAAACTGACAACGTGACTGCTCTATGGTATCGTTAAGGGGAATAGTCAGAGGCATCTAGAAAAGTCCACAGTAGAGTGAGAAAGAAGTAGCCTGAACATGGCCAAAGCTTTCTGTGATAGTGAAGAGAATAGTGGGGGATAGAGAATAGAGAAAACAATGGGGAAAGCAGGAGCAGAGGGAGGGAGGGGAGACAGACAGACAGACAGACAGACAGACAGACAGACAGACAGACAGAGAACATATCAAGAATAGCAGGATTAGCTGTGGGAAGGGAACCCCTGAAGTGAAGGGCGTTCAGGGGAGGAAAGGGCTAGGATGCTGGCATGAGCTTTGAAATATGTAACAGGTACCTGTGATACTAAGGGAGCCTGGAAGCCAGCATTGAGTTCTGATATGCAGATAGGAGCCACATGTCCCTTCTGCCAGAGGTAAAGGAAATTATTCCTTTTGATAGATGGAAACCAGTTTCACAAGTTTCTGGGGAATGCTGGCTTTTATCTAACTACCAGAAATGCTCCTATAGTGCAGGTTGAGTTCATTTCTGGGTATTTGGACTGCCTTTGGGGGTAGTCATCTCAAGGCCTTTTTTTTTTTTTTTTTTTTTTTTTTTTTTTCCAAACGGGGTTTTTTTTTGGTTTTCCAACAAGGGTTTTTTTTTGGTTTTCCAGACAGGGTTTTTCTCTGGCTTTGGAGGCTGGCCTGGAACTAGCTCTTGTAGACCAGGCTGGCCTCTGCCTCCCAAGTGCTGGGATTAAAAGTGTGCGCCACCAATGCCCGGCCACCTCAAGGTTTCTAACAGCAGAATATAAATTCACTATCTTGGCACTTACTCACTGTCTGTGTCTTAGCTAGGGTCTGTAGCATGATAAATAAAAGACCCAGAGACTGATATTGGGGTTCAAACTTCAAGCTGAAGATCAGGAAATCAAAGCAGTCAGCCACTAGCTCTTACTTTACCTCAGACTGAAAGGTTACCCCAGCTCCACCAAACCTCAGACTGCAATCCCATACTGCTATGCCCTCCTCAACCTGAGACTCAATGTATTCCTAACAACAGTGTGGCTAGAGAATGAATTGCCAGCTCTGAGACCCTGTTCCTGTCTTAAATACCACTCACAAGTCCTGGGATTAAAGGCATGTACTGAGATCTGTTGTTTCTCTTTGTGTAGCTAGCTCAGTGTGGCCTTGAGCTAACAGAGATCCATCTACCTTTTAATCCTGAGTCCTGGGATTAAAGCTGTGTACCTGTGTTCTATGGCTTGTGGTTGACTTTGCTTTCTGAATCCTCAGGCGATCTTTAATAAATCATAAATAATATATCATCCACAAGTGTCACTATTACTGTAATGAAACACCATAACCAAAAGCAATTTGGGGAGGAAAGGGTTTATTTGACTTACATAGTCTGAATCACAGTTCATTGAGGGAAACCAAGGCAGGAACTCAAACTGGGAAGGTATCTGAAGGCAGGAGCTGACGCAGAAGTCATGGAGGGGTGCTGCTTGGTAGCTTGATCCTAGTGGCTTGCTCAGCCTACTTTCTTACAGAAACCAGGACACCAGCCCAGGTGGCACCACCCACAATTGGTTAGGCTCTCCCCCATTGATCATTAGTTTAAAAAATAATCCACATGCATGTCTACAGTCTGATCTTATGCAGGAATTTTCTCAAGTGAGATTCCCTCTCAGACAACACTGTCTGTCAAGTTGACACAAAACCAGTCATCACAGTCCATGTCTCAGCCTTCTTGTACTCTGAATTCAGAACCATACAAGTGATCTATTATGTAGAAATGCACATGAGGCAGAGAAGAGAGTGGGCACTAAACCAGACAGAGTTCCTTATATGGCTGACTGAAAATGTGAACTCAATAGCCCACTTATAGAGACAGGAAGGCATGTGGCATGTAAAATGAAGGATTGTATTTATGCTGATCACATGGCAAGAGTTTCCAGTTCTACCAACCACAGGACTTACATAACAACCAACCAGAAGTTCTATACTGTACTAATCAATGACTTCTTGCTAAACTACTGAGTGTTCCCCATTCCACATCCTAGTTGCAAATACGAAGAGTCCTCTAAAGTTTCCAAAGCTTATGACTACTTAACCTCTGTCCCAGTGCCCTAGGGAGAGTTGGATCCCTTTAACTTGTTTTATGGCCTCTTCAATTTACAGAATCACTGCTAAAGTCATGGTAAAATATGGCTTTTCCCTTTAACTCCCAGGAAATAATGAGGACTTGCCTTGGGCTGCCCAGAGAGTAGCAATAAAATTGAGAATGCCATATTTGGATGATACCAGCTGACTAACCACAACGGAACCAATGGCCAAAAGTATATGTGGGAAAGTCCCATAAAAGCTCTGAGTGACTAGACAGGAAATGCTTCTCTTCCAGGTAAAAGCTTTTCCCATAAACAGTCACACCATGAAGGAAGACGATGTGTCCTCACTGAGGAGAGAGGACCAAAGAAGCTCCACTTTTGTATTTGTCCCGCCCCTGCTTCAAGCATATCGCCTGCCTGGTTTGAACAATCTTTGCATCCTTTCCATGGAGTAAATCATGGCAAGTGTAAGAGTTAGTTCAGTGGG